ATGGCCAGGAACATCGCGCAGGCGGACGCGTCACTCAAGGCTGGTCAGTTTTCAGTGCACCCCCTCCAGTCTCCAGTCTCAAAATGATCCCTGTTTCAGTGTTTTGACATGATGCTTCCATTATCTTTCGAATCTTGTGATCCAAAGCGTTAAAAAACTGTATTTCGCATGGACCCACCTTATAATCTAGTGTCGTGCAGCCGTGCAGGCATTCAGTATAATAGCTATTCTTAGACAATCTAGTACTGCCCTCTTATCTTTGAGGCACTGTTCAGTATATACTATATAGCTGTTTCTTATTTTACAAATTGGAAATAAGGCTTTTAGAGGAATTACCAAGTATTTAGTTACTTATTTTCAAGTAGACGCATAAAAAATGTTCTTCCATTATCTAAAAAAGACGCACAAAAAATGTTCTACTATCAATCTAGTATGAAGCCTTGTTTTTCACTTTCAATTACAGGCAATCATGCGCATATTATGAAATAGAAGCAGCAGTACTACTAGGTAGTAATGTTCTGGTGACATCTTTGAGAGATAGAAAACAGATGCTGTAGTCGTGTTTATCATTTTTTGGCTTTAGAAAGAATAGATGTCTATTTTATCTGTTTGTTTGAATTGGCTATTAAAGTACAGTGTTTTGCATAGCTGCTAGGCTCCTAACCAGCTAGTATCTTTTAGGCATGTTCAGTATAGAGCTGTTCAGCTATCCTCTATCGCTCAGGCATGTTTAGAATATAGTTGTCTCTTATTGGATAGAGCGGAGACGATGCTTTAAGGATAACTGTAAATCCCACTTTTTTTTCATGGAAAAGTTTAACAAGCATGGCAATGAGTAGATGATACCTAGTTCTTCTGTTTCAATTATATGTTCCTATTAAGAAATAGAAGCAAGAGTACCAGTACTAGATAGTAACGATACACCTTTGAAAGATACGAAACACAGAGATGAACTTGAAATTGTTATTTCTCGCGTAAACAAAAGACTCTTTTTTTTATGAATTGCTTGGGAGAGTACACTATCACAGCAGTGCCAGTTGTTAATCCATCAATGGTTCAATGTTGTTCTGTGAAAGCTTACTTGTTGAATTGAATCTTGCACAGGTCAATGGCAGCGCAACAAGTATGTTGGTGTATCTCTTGTGGGAAAAACTCTTGCTATTCTTGGATTTGGAAAGGTCGGTTCAGAAGTTGCTCGTCGTGCTAAAGGCTTGGGAATGCATGTGATTGCACATGACCCATATGCTTCTGCTGATCGGGCTCGTGCAATCGGGGTTGAGCTAGTTAGCATGGAGGAGGCCATGACAACTGCTGACTTTATCTCGTTACACATGCCTCTTACGCCTGCAACAAACAAGATGCTCAATGATGAGGCCTTCGCTAAGATGAAGAAGGGTGTTCGCATTATAAATGTTGCACGTGGTGGTGTAATTGATGAAGAAGCTCTAGTCAGGGCACTTGATTCAGGAATAGTAGCACAGGTTTGTTTGATTATCTTAACTCACCTCCTTGTGTTTCATGCTCTAATGAAATTCAGTGAAGCGTCGTTGAGATGTTTCCCTGGAATCATGCTTATATTTTTCAAATTTTCTGTATATTAGGCTGCTCTTGATGTGTTCACTAAAGAACCCCCAGCACCTGACAACAAGTTGGTACTGCACGAGAATGTTACTGTCACACCTCACCTTGGTGCCAGCACAGTGGAGGCACAGGTATGCTGAATTTGCTCAGAAATGACCCATCCAGGTTCTCTATCGTAGCTATCAGTTTGCTTAACACGACAAGTTTCACAGGAAGGAGTGGCTATTGAGATAGCTGAAGCTGTCATTGGAGCTCTGAAGGGGGAGCTTGCAGCTTCTGCAGTCAATGCGCCAATGGTTCCTGCTGAGGTATGAATCTTTTGTTATCTACTTACCCCAACTCATATACCTCCTCACATTTAATATGCTGCATCTATTCGGTTCATGCAGGTGCTGTCAGAGCTTGCACCTTTTGTTGTGCTTGCAGAAAAGCTTGGGCGCTTGGCTGTGCAACTAGTTGCTGGTAGTGGTGGTATCAAGTCTGTGAAAGTGACCTATGCATCTGCACGGGCCCCTGATGATCTTGACACGAGACTTCTCCGTGCAATGATCACCAAGGGATTGATTGAACCAATCTCCAGTGTTTTTGTCAATCTGGTAAATGCTGACTTCACCGCAAAGCAGAGGGGAGTTCGCATCACCGAGGAGAGGATCCTGTTGGACGGCTCTCCTGAGACACCTATTGATTACATTCAAGTTCACATTGCCAATGTCGAGTCCAAATTTCCCAGTGCGATATCTGAGACTGGAGAGATCACTGTGGAGGGGAGAGTGAAGGATGGTGTTCCTCATCTAACAAAGGTTGGAGCATTCCAGGTGGATGTGAGCTTGGAAGGAAGCCTGATCCTTTGCAGGCAGGTTGATCAACCAGGTATGATTGGGTCAGTCGGAAGTGTCTTGGGTGAGGAGAACGTCAATGTCAGTTTCATGAGTGTCGGAAGAATTGCTCCTCGCAAGCATGCTGTCATGGCTATCGGTGTTGATGAGGAACCAAGCAAGGGCACGCTGACAAAGATCGGGGAGATTCCAGCGATTGAAGAGTTTGTTTTCCTCAAGCTCTAGGCGCAAAGCGCAAATGTATGTTTGAAGTTGCAAGCATGGTGTGCAATTTTGATGTAGCTAGCAATCTAGAGGACGGATGGTTCTCCTTGAAATAAGCTTTTTGGAGTATTTTGGTAGTGGTGCTCTTGAATTTGGTGCAGTATTGATGCCTCCTTTTGAACGTGGTGTTTATTAATAAAAACCTGTCTCCATACTTGGCTGTTTTACTTGGCTCATTGGTACAATACTCTGTTTGCTTGGTTGCAGTCTTTATAAGACGGAGTTTGAAAGAGGATTGTAATTTGTACATGACGTATTTTTCAGTTAGTGTTTCCCAGGTCATAAAAAATAATTTTACACGTACTAAAATATTTTATCCGGTATATGTTTGGGTTTGAATTCAAACATGCTGCCCCTTTTAGTGCTGGAGCTGCAATGCTGCCCGGCCCTATACTCCTGCAGTTCTGCGGATGCGGAACTTATCTGAATCATCTTAATTCTGCACGTGGCTCTTATGGAGTAAGTTGACCATATCACTAATCTTCAACCTTTGCTAAAAATAGGTTGAATCTGTTAAAATGCGAATGTAAATGAACAAGATTTGGGAGAACTGTCTCTTTCATTGATCTCTGAAATATATTTATACAAGTGAAGGGGTGTCACGAAGGGACATGACTGTTCCCAAAGGACATGTCATTTAGAGTAAAACTAACTGTCTAATCCTATCCACTAATCTTGTAATTGATGGATGAGATCACTTCGTAAACAGGTGTCTATTGAGAGACACCGTTTCACAACACTCCCCCTTGATCGAATCTTCCTTGAGATCAATGCAGCTGTAAGCTGAAATTCCTCAAAAAACCCTATGAGAAAAATTTAAGGAATATATGATATGTCATAAAAACTCATTTAAACCTTATTGAAAAATAAGGAGAAAATAACATATTTATTTGTGATTTAAATAAACCACTATGTCATTGGTATCCCATTAAAAACCCCAATGGGAAAAAATATTGGAGATACGACATAAAGATAACTCCCCCAAAAACCTTTTTAGGAAAAATATGAGGAGCAATATAAAGTGATATGTCGCTAAAACTCCTATAAAAATCCAGTGGAAAAATTAGGAGAAAATATGACGACATATTATTGGTATTGCCTCTTGGATAACTCACATGAAAAACCTTTTCAGGGAAAAACCATGGATGAGTTGTGAGGGCAATATATGTCTTTGATATTTTCCAAAAAAACCCCTGTGGGGAAAATAGGAAATATGACACATGCTTATGTTAATATTATCTCATTAAAAACTTTAATAAGAAACCTTGTAAGTAAAACTTATAAAAGAAAAGAGTATAATATGATGCTGGTATAGGTCAACATTTAGAAGATGTCTCCCCTTGATTCTGGCAAATCTCGAAGTCGCCGCATACTAATTTCATGTACTAATTTTTGAAACACAGAAGTTGGTAATGACTTAGTAAATAAGTCAGTGAGATTATCACATGACTGAATTTGCAAGATGTTTATTTCCCTCCTTTCTAGTAATTCATGGAGATAAAACAGTTTAGGAACAATATGCTTAGTGATATTGCTCTTTATGTAACCTGTTTGCATCTGTGTAACATAAGCGGAATTATCTTCATAGATAATTGTAGGTGATTCAATTGAACCAATACCACATGGCTGTTGTACGTGGTTAATCATTCTATGAAGTCATACACATTCATGTGATGCCTCATATAGAGCAATAATTTCAGAATGATTAGTAGAGTCAAACACTTTTACCGAATTTAAATCGAAAACAATAGTACATGCACACGACACATGCATAAGCATAAGCAGTCTGCTGCACTCTAGTTTAGATGATCGAGGTCGTGTTTGAAAGGCATACAGTGGTAATCTACAGGGCCTGCTGCACTCTAGTTTAGATGATCGAGGTCGTGTTTGATCAGCTGCACTTATTCGGCAGACGGCAGCTGCATGCATACAGTGGTAATCTACAGAACCTTTTAGTTTGGATTTCTGCATCAACAGCTGCAGCCACAGCTAGGTAAGTGCAGCCAATTAAAGCAATGGATTTCACCAAAAGGAGCACGATTCTCATGAAGGCTCAGTATAATTCCAGCACCCGGGACGAGGCCGAATTTTTCCATGGCCATTCTCTCCTAAATTGAGATACAGAACTGAAAACTTTACGTCAAGGAACACTAAGAAAAAGGAAATAAGCCTGTCCTGCTACACGGATAGACTTCGGTACTTCACACACGACTGATTCGTACGAACCATGTCATTGGCAAACGATATTTAAGAGTTGAGGAAAAACACGAGAAAAAAAAAGGTAATTGCGAATCTGAAATGATGCATGATCACCACTGCTTATAAGCTTGCTGACTTCCCAGGGGAGCCTGTACCTTCGAGCTCAAGTGGATCAGCGTTGCTCAAGTACTTTATGTAAAGCGACCATGATATGTTCAGAGAGTCTCCTGTAGCTGTGGTTGAAAACACCTTCCTATCGCTCTGCCATTTGTTGGTGAGTCTGATCCATTCCCTCCTCCATTCTGTGAGCGCGAAAGGTGCATTCTTCTCCATGCTTAACAACAAGTGCTTGAAGTAGATGGCAGCCCTTGGCCCATAGTAATCTCGTAGCAGGCCACTCCAGTACTTGTTTGCTGCAACAAATTTTGTTAGAAAGGAATCCAAAAAAACAATAATAAATTAGTACGTGGCCAAGTGGCATGCTGTTTTACCATAGTCACGCAATAAACTTGCTTTTGTTTCCGTGTTGTCAAACCACATTGTAATTTGTGTTCTAGCATTCCATTCATACTGCAAGGATTTCAACGAAGTTATATGTCAGAAATTTGATGAACATGACTACTTGTCATCAATGCTAGAGTGACATACATCACAAGATCATGACCATAGTGCATATATGAAATCTTAGATTGGCTCAATGTGAATAGTTGCACAAGTTTGAGCCTAATGCTCATAAACAGCCTAACATCAGGAAGAATCAAACAGGTCGATAAGAATGGAATTATCCCTACTTTCACAACTATAGGAATTTGGAATTTTTGATAAATATGGTATGATGCCATATCATTGGACATAATTCAGTTTCAAAGAATGGCAAAAGAAAAAGATTACCTGTATTTCTTGCTCACTGTTTCGTGCAAGGCCCTTGGCACTTTCCAACCAAGGCCCAAGCAGAAAACCCTCATGAGAGGATAGTAGTGTGTCAAGGTCATTTACAAGGTTGAGAAAGTGCTGGCACAGGATGGTGACTTGATTCATGTTGTTTGATTTGTAGCTCTCGATGATCTTTAGAAAGACGTCATTGGCATATTTAGCCAGAACTTGACGAGTCAAATCCACAAGGTCATACCTGTTAATATGATGCAACATTTATGAACCTTTCCTCATTTACAAAAACAATAGTGCAATGGACTGTGCCTCAGTATCCTGTGCATATAATGTTTTAGTGTTTATTCATGTTTGGTTAATTGAAAAGCCAAAAGTAAGATCATGATCATCACAATACAAATGGATTACCTTGAACTGTAAAGTAAGAATTAAGGTAAATGGGAATTCTAAAGCAATAGAAAGAAATGTATGGCATCAAAGGTTTGTGGATTGGCAGGAAATATCGGGGCAAAACTAAATTTATTCTATTGACTAAAATCGTAGAATCAGAGCCTCGAATTCTGATCATAAAGTTGTAAAATCAGACGACAAAATCAATATTTTGACAATCATGAGTATTACTGTATTCACACACACAGTCCATTGAAGACAATCACTTTTTTAGCTTGTAAATTTTTACCACTGAAAGATGAACTGAAAGAATAATTATCTTACAGTACGGATTAAGCAATTGGAACACCTGCATTCTCACCTGAAGGTGTTGCTGTCAGATACTTCATCTCCATGTTGAAGAAAAAGTTCCAGGGCATGGATAACGGCATTAGTATCATACCATAGATGAGGATGATCATATGCATCACTAGAGGAGTCCTTCCCTATGTAATTTTTCGATGGCATTGTAGAATACATCTGTCTAGTATTCACATACAACCCTGGTGTCTCAATAACAAAAGGTTCAACATCTGGGAAGGCCACTATCACGTCCCGATTTTTGTCCTGCCAGAATAAAATTTATGATAAGAGTAACAGATAAGAACCTAGCCGAATCTTCAAAAAGTAGGAATATATTGATGTTTTACTTCTATTCACACTTGGCATGTGGCAACAATTGCCAAAAAGAAAAAGATAATGAGAAATGTATTTTCACAGAATAATTTTGTCTAGCAAAGATGTTTATAACATAGAGTAAGATTTAAGTGTACAACAACAACAAAGCCTTTAAGTCCCAAACAAGTTGGGGTAGGTTAGAGTTGAAACCCATCAGAAGCAATCAAGGTTCAGGCACGTGAATAGTTGTCTTCCAAGCACTCCTATCTAAGGCTAAGTCTTTGGGTATATTCCATCCTTTCAAGTCTTCTTTTATTGCCTCTACCCAAGTCAATTTCGGTCTTCCTCTGCCTCTCTTCACGTTACAGTAAGATTTAAGTGTAAAATAAATATAAAAACTTCAGGTTGTCAGTAGCATAGCGTATCGGATATTTGTGATTTTGCAACTTGCTCACAACCTACTATCCCTTGTACATGCTTAAGTAATGTTGGAAGAACAATGGACACATGGCACAATGCCTAAGCATGGCAATTTTTATATTAAAAAAATCTTACATTTTTACCATCTGTGCAGTTATATAAAGTTTGATACAAAATCCACCAAGCATCTTGCAGTCCCTTCACTGGTTTTCCATATCTTCTTGTTGGATATGTCTCGACCCAAACCTGGAAATAATATAAAACTGATCAGGCCATTCATTAGCTAGTGCAATTGTGCAAAGGGCAACTTCCATAGAAACATAAATAAGAGATGCACAATAAGTATAAGATGAATAAAAAGAAGAACACATCTATTGTGCAAAAAGCTCTTCTAAAATATATATTTTTTTTTAATTTCACCTGAAGATCAACTTGTCTGTGATGGAAGGCCATTTCTGACATAAGGTCATAAACAATAGGATTTTGCTCAATACCTTCCATAGACATACCAACTCCAACCTGGAATATAATTTGTTAATAGGTAAAACATCACCATCTGTATATATGTAAGCTAGCTCAGTAGCACAAGCAACTGACTAAGCTTGACAATGTATACCATTGTGGAGTTATCACTTAATCGAGCATCAATAGGCCCAGAAGCCAAAGCATCCAAAATACCATACATTTCAAAATCTGCAGCGAAATTGTGGAGCATGCACCTGAAAAAGGGTCACACGAGTTTTTTATGAAGGAAAATAAAAGGAGGGTAATAGTGCATGGAGTTGGCAGAAAGAGAAAAGAGAACTATCCAGATGTAGGGAACACCATAGAACTGATCAGAATTTATCCACACTGGTTTAACTTCAGCGTAAAGATCAAGAACAATCATTTTGCCAACAGGAACAGAATGTAGTAATGCCTAAAAACAACAGAAATTGAGTTTAATCAGATAAGTAAAAAATTGTTTGTGTTAAACCTGAATCCTCAAACAAAACAACAACAATAATAACAAAGGTGCATGCTCAGCTCAAAACAGAAACAAAAAAAAAACCCTACTGATTTTGCGGGGGGGAAGGCTTGCCTCGGTTTTTCCCTTCCCCAGACCCCACTCATGTGGGAGCCTCCGGCACTAGGTCTGCCCTTTTTTATGTATTAGATAGTAGCACTGGCGGAGCTACGTTGGGGCCAAACTGGGTCTTGGGCCCCCCTTGCTCTGCTGCATGAATACACAGCTGCTCACTGGAAGTTTGCATGTCGCTGCATGCATGCAATTAATTCCTACCTCTCTCATTGTCCTATGCCTGCTAGCTGCTACATTTGCTGATGAGTGGATCACAGCTTGCAAGTATGCAAATCTGCGTACATTGTCCATTCTTCTTTGACATGGTCTTTTAGTTGTTCATTGCAGTCTACATAGATAGAACTTGAAAAAAACAAAGACTTTGCACAGAATTCCAGTTGTATGTACTGCTATTGGTAACACTGTAGCACTATAGCTTTGAATTGCTCCCCCCCCCCCTACACATTCACGCACGCTCCGCCACTGGATAGTAGCCACCTTAAGTTCACAAGGCTTAGTCAAGTTTTCAGCAGAAAAGGTGAAGAAACTGAGTGCAGAACTAATTATTAGAAATACAGTGGTTGTCAATCATTTGGCAATGGGACATCAATTTTTTTCTCCAAGTATAACCTGAAAATACTGTGCTATCAACATAAATAAATCACTACATGCACAGGCGAGGGTAAGGCTTGCCACTAACACCCTTCCCCAGACCCCTGCACTGGGTACGCCCTTTTTACTGTATGAACCAAATAAAAATAACAGATAACACCACTGCAAATTGTACCTCCTTGGTGTTACTTCAAAAATCATAATATGTTATTGGAAAACACAAGGCTTACCCTGACTAAATGAATGTGATCAACTCACATCATTGGAACATTAATTGCAGTCATATCATATCCAACATACTCCCTCCATTTTTAAATATATGACATTTAGGACAAGCAGTTAATTAAAAAAATGAAGGTCACATGAATTTCAATCCTCACTACTCCAATAATGTTTTTGAAGAAACAAGAAGCCAAAATGAAAAGAGCCAATAAAATTATCAGCATGCATATCTTATCAAACCATGAAATAAAGTTTCACCTTCATTTGTGGAGGTTCCCAGAAAGGATCATAGGTAAACAACCAACCCTGCAGAGTAATAGATGTTACAGATCCTTGCATATCCATATATCCAAGAATGTGACAATAGAGCTAGAAATTTCTCTCAACTGGAGAAGAGAATCACGCATCTGAAAGTAGTTCCAGAAGTAAAAAAGTAAAGTGCAACAACCAAGACATCCATGATCTATATTCATATCTCTAATAACTGCTTTACAGACAAATCCAATAATAATCAAAATACTAACACACAGAGAACATACTTGCATCAACCAAATAGCATCGTTGTCACCGCTTTGCATACCCTTGAACGTTGCAGCACCCAACGAAGATATATAATTCGGGTCACTTAGTGGAGGAGTGTTCTCATCAAAAGTATCACTAGACAGGTAAAAAATGATTATAAATGAGAAAAATTCATTGATTGGGAACTTCCAGTGAGAAGGATGGTTAATAATCATACCAGTTGTAGATGTGACTTGTCCTACCATATTCTACGCAAAAGTACAAGAAAACTCCCATGCATCAAGGTTTGTTTTCTTCTGATGAAAAGGTGTAAAAAGTACTCTTACAAAACAGGGAACTAATAAGGTAAAAGCTAGCCATCATTCGTTCCAAAAGAATGGCTAGCCATCACTCTTATGGTAGGAAACAACACAAGATTACAGGTCTGACATTAAAATATCTTGCACCCAAGATGTTAGACATCAACTTGAACAAAATAACAGATCCTACCTCTGATTTGTTCTTCTATAAACAACTTCCCAATTTCTACGAATAAAGGATCAGATGCATCAAGAAGATATGTGCAGCACCACCTTGGATTACTGTCAACTGTAAACCTTAATATCACAGAGTATAGTCAAATAAGCACATGTGACTTAACACTGATGAAAAAAGGATGTCAGCAAGAAAAGTAGTGTTAGTGTACAGTGGGCTCAAATCAGGATATTAACATTTATGAATAATATGATGAAGCTTTTAAGGTGAAATGAACATTAAGAATACAAATGGGCATAAGCTTGTTATGAATGTGTAGCATGACTGTCCCAGTTTGATCAGTGGTAGCAGCTCAAACTGCTAAGATGTGAGATGCATGCAAAAATTGCAATCGAAGTTACATAACTGAAATACAACAAAGGTGGAGGCGCAAAACTGCATGAAATTCAGCAGCGAAATAGGAGCTGCAACCAAGATTCCATATTTTATATTTAAGCATTGATCACGGAAAATCATATATCCCAATGTTATTTAGAAGATAGAAAATCGCCGTTACCAGTTGCCAAGGTGAGTGACTTTAGCTGAAGGGAATTTTGACTTTAATGCAGCTGGGATGTTGCCAGAAAAGGCTGGAAGAACTGCAACAGATGTAGATTTTAGTCTATTAGACACATAACAAAAAGTGAGGGGGTCCTGATGTACTAAAAAACAAAGACTGAGAAATTAAACATTTAGATTGGTTACATTAGGCAGAACAGGAGTTCTGAAAACGCACAGAAGTGCAAACCAATAAAGATATATTTATATCACATACTGTAACCTTAACATAGAAAAGTTGCTCATGTAACTGCACAAAATCCAAAAATGCTACAATGGTAGAAGTGTCACCTGGGAACATGCCAAAAGCGTATATCCTAGATAGGATTTTCTTTTGAAGTGCTAGTTGGTCATCAAGCCAAGTCTGAGGGAGAGGTCCACCCCATCTGATAAATCAGGAAGTGTCATTAAAGGGTAATTACTTAAAAGACGATGACAGAAAAACATCTAACATGTGAAGCTAGTATCTTCGCTTTTAGATAAAAGGGCTGAAAATAAGTAATATATGGCATATGTTCGAAATAAAGAGTTCCAAAAAATCTGTATCCAAGATAAAACTAAATACTTTGGGTAACTGTAACTATCTATTCCTTACAAGTACTAAAGATGACACCAAATTCTTGTAGGCAGCTAAAACAGTCAGTCATAACATGCTTGAAAAAAAATATCAGCATATAGGACTCAGGAAAAGGGAATCAAAGCTCAAAACAAAAATTCTTGAGCTTTCGTAGTCACATCTTATTTTCTGACATTCCAAATATAAACAGTTCTCCTTGGCTGTCTTAATCTGACATGTCTAGATGTGAGCATCCCAATTTGCAGCTATATACTCCCTCCGTTCCAAATTATAAGTCATTCTGGCTTTATCTATGCACCTAGATATATACTATGTCAAAGCCAGACAATTTATAATTTGGAATGGAGGGAGTATTTTATAGCAAGGTAATTCACAATGACAATCTATCTTGTGCTGCAGAGTTGAGGAATAAATGAAAATAATTTTAGAAGGCACAGCATGTCAAATTATTACTGCAAAAGAATATTGAAATCAGTAGAGTCATATAAAATTAAAAGTTTAGATGTGAGAGACCAATTGCAAATCAGATGTGTAACTTACCCATGCATATTAGCCATTCGAGACCATGCAAGAAAGGCTGGCCCACCAAAGAAATCATCCAGATCTGATTTGCTAATGTTGTACCTCTTCAAGAATTTAATGAAATGAAACAAAGTTATTCACAAACCATTTGCAGAAAAACAGGATGAGTAAATTTAAAGAAATAACCTGAGATTTTTTTTTTTTGATAAGGTGCAATAACCTGAATTGTTTTTGTCTTAGATAAAAGAGTGCTAATATTCTCATAAAATATAATAATAAAAAGTGCCAACAGGAAGAACCAGTGAGGTTACATCTACTCTAGAAGGGGTCCATTCATTCCACCACAAAATGTCAATTTTAAGAACTGCGCTAAAATCATTTTCCCAAGAAAAAACATCAAAACATGACACTACATGTCGAGATATGGTGATGTGCATCTTCCTGCTTATCCATACTGCCTTCCTACTGTACCTAGCATTTACTGTTATGCATCAATACATCTGCTTCAATGCTTTCCTAACATTATAGGTTGCTTTTGTGCATTATTTCACGCTAATGTCACAAAAAACACAGTGGTAATTTATCCACTGTGCAGAATGCTTAAAAAAGAAGAAAGACACATACCTGAAAAACCTTCTGCCATATAGACTCTTGCCCAGTGAAAGCAAGAGGCAAATTGATTCCTTGAAGAGCCATCCAGTCAATTTCCTTCTCCCATCGCTCCCAATCCCACCAAGCAAAAGAATCTAAAGGGTGAAGAAAATAATTTTAAACAAAGAAATATGTTTTAGGTTCAGTTTACATGAGAAAATTTGATGTCATCAATTCTGGAACCAACAGCCAAAATTTCAACATAAGTAAGCTATCAACTTACAGCTGGATGTAACTGCATTCTGGTAGTAGCTCCAGCCAATGGGTCTTTGAATCAATACACCACCATCAGGAACACGAGGTAGTGACCCAGGATGCGGAATGGATGATAGTTGTGCACCACCGGTTTTATACCAAGATATATGTGCTGTACAATAGTGTTTCAAGTACCAATGAAAGCCAGCAGAAATTTCGACCCCACTTACACCAAGCATCCTGGCCACAAGTAATGACAAATGTGAAGTTGTTAGGCTCTTTCCAATTTCAGCATGTAAAGCAACACATGCACACATGCATTGCTGAGTAGCATAACTTTTTTTTTTGCAAGGTGAGTAGCATAACTCATGACATGAAAAGCAAAATTTTCTAATACTATAGCAGATGGCATGTTACATCTGCACAGCAGAGCAATCCTACTGAAAGCATAAACCAATTGCACAAGCAAACAGGATTGGCAAGTGATTCTAGCAGAATCTGCTGAGACACCAACATTGTGTTATAAGCTGCTTTTTGGATAGGTTATAACAAACAAAATTAAAAGAGTCCTGATTTAGAAGCACAAGACAACGTACTGCAAGATATGGTGGTTCACTAACTCACTGTTTGGTGCATTCACACCTTTTAATGACCTAATGGGTCACATTTACTTACGAGTAAATGTAATCAACTCGTTGCGAATATATTCAAAAACATAATTACAACAGGGGTTCACCTAACACCCAACTTCAGAAAACAACATAGAATAAATAAAGCCAACACATCTGGATTGTCCCCTTGCATGAAACGGAACAGTAAGGTGCTAATGGCTACTGTTTGCAACTGGGAAAGAAATGTAAATGAACAAGCTGAAGATATAGTTAGCAACGCGTGACAAAATATAAAGGGAAAACATACAATATTTCTGGAGTCCCCTCTCCATCAAACAACGTGGTTGTTGATGAGGAAGCATGCCTTCCCACCACATTGCTCCTATCAATGAATTGGAGTACAACGTAAATCCTTGTCATTTAGTAACAGGTAGTCAGAAAATGAACCACCCGTTATGAACTTAAATAACAAAAATAACAAATCATGGGGTAGGGTCCAGACTCAGTTTCGACGGCTAAGATTATTATAAAGATTATCTGAATACTGAATTCATATATAAATAAACAATTTCCTACTAAGATTGCCTACTCTCTGTGTCCTCAACTCCTCATGAAGCGCTTCCTTGGCCTCTGATTCTAGTCGACATTCTCACTGCGCTCTTATCTCTCGGCAACTCTACTTATGCAACGCCGATTGGGTACGTGTACTTCTCAGTACGTTGCCTAATGCCTAATATGTTTATGCAACACCGAATCAACACCTGACGTCTGATGCGTTCAACATGACAACATCACATAGAGACCCTACGATCCCCAAGCAGCAAAGCACGCGTACCGTGGAGATGACCCTGAACTCGAAGCTGGTGGAGTGTGACGGTAGGAGGCGCGCAAGAAGTCCCCGCGCGGCGGCCTCCTGCTCGGCCGATGACGAACCCTCCCGGCGCTGGAGCTCGCGGACGCGGTCGAGGTGCGGGAACCGCCGATCGGAGCATCTCACCCCCGGAACGGCGCAGGTGATCACGATGACCAGCAATAGCTGGAGGAATCGGGAAGCGGGGGTGGAGGAGGGCCGCGTCGGCATCGCGGCAGCCGTGGGTGGGGACTGGGGAGTGGGAGGAGGAAGGTGGAGGGGAGGATTGGAGTGGCCAGTGGGCCTCGGCGGACGGCATGACGACGGGTTTAACTAAGCGAGAGCGAGGTGGTCGTTGGCGATTGGGAAATGGAAGGCGACAGCGAAAGGGCGAGAGCTTGGGGACGGCGACGGGCAGACGGCGAACGGAAGAGGCGAAGACGACAAGAGCGGCAGGCCGCGCGGGGAAGTGGAAACGGAGGTATAAATGCGACCACAAAAGAAGGCGGTCCGACACGAACCATACAATTTTAATCTGGTTTAAGCACGGCACGGCCCGATGATCAGCGGTCCGGGTTGGCCCGCCCAAGGGAGCGAGCCATGAGTGGGCTGCTGTTCAAGCCCGTGGGTAGGTACGACATGACTCGGCCTTCGACAGACGGCCCGACAACGGCCCAGCCTCCCCCCTCTCCCTCCTCAATTCTCCTCTCCTCCCCAAGGGACCAGGTAGCAGCGGCCCAACCTCGCCAAATTTCACGCGCCCCCCTCCCCCCCATATATAAGCCAGCACGCCACGACAGCTCTTCCTCATCCCGAACCCTAGCTTATTTTGTCCCGCCGCGTCGCTCTCGTCTCGCCTCGCTCTTGCCCTTGCCGTCTCGGCTCTGTCCTCCTAGACTACGGTGAGGTGACCTCGACAATCCGTCTGCCATCGGCGAGCAGCTCCCTACTCCTCCTACCTGGTCCCCTCCCTCTCCGCCTCTCCCTTCTCCCTATCCCTATCTCTCGTCTAGATCTCGGTGATTATGTGAGTTCGTGTCCCCGTCTACCCCTCCTCCGTCACTTGTCGTCCTTGTAACCGGTGTGTCGTCTTCTCTAGGTAGCCCTCGTCTTCTCCGGCACCGGACTCCGGTTGCGCAGGTATAACCCTAATCCTAACCCTCCTCTTCTTCCATTGATGAATGATGATTGATCTATTCTGATATATTCTTTTCCTCCTCCTCCATCTCTTTGCGCAAGTCAGTAGCCGATGTGTCGTCCTCTAGCTGTGGCATAGAGCGACCAAGGCGGCCCCACGCACCGTTGAGGAATAGTGCTGGAGAGCCCTCCGTGATCGAGGGCGCCATGGCTGGTGCTAATGACGAGATCGTCTGGTCGCTCACCGGCAACGATGATTTAATCGTGGCAGGCCTAGCCTCTGAGGACGACGACGACACCCACGAGGACGTTGTTGCCTTGTTCGGTAACCATGCCGGTAGCGGCTCTGCTGCTCCGATCGATCTGGACGGCGACGATGGTGAAGGGGCGATGGCGACTGGGACCCTAATCTGCTCCAATGGCTTAACTCCATCTATTGCTGGTGCTGGTACCTCTTCTGGACCTGGTGTTGATAAGCGTAAATCTATTGTGTGGGCTGATTTTAATGAGATCTATAAGATTGTGAATGGTAGGCAAATCTACACTAAAGCTACCTGTAAAATATGTAAGTATAATTTATCTGCTAGATCTAATGCTGGCACTGAACACTTGAGAGAGGCACCAGAAATCCTGTAGGTAGAAAACTGATCAAGGTGTTAGGGTTCAGTCTAGGTTTGCTTACAATACTGATGGTTCTGTGCATAACTAGAACTACAAACCTAATATTGTTAGATCTGAATTGTGTCGCTTGATTGCTAGACTTGATTTGTCGTTAGATATTAGTGAGACAGAGGCTTGGGAGGATTATATTGTCCGTGCTCATAACCCTAGGTTTATTAAAGTGTCTAGATAGATCACCATTAGAGATCTAAGTAAACTGTTTACTAAACGTCGTAATATGCTTAAGAATTATGTGTTGTCTGTTGCTTCCTCTGTTGCTCTGACATCATATATTTGGTCTGGTAATGCTAAGAAGGATTACATTAGTGTTGTTGCTCATTTTGTTAGTGCTGATTAGGGTTACAGAAAAAGGTTATTAGACTTTGGTTGATTGAGGTGAAACATACTAGTGAAAATATTGCTAAAAGAGTTGCTTGTGTGGTTGAGGAGTTTGGTCTCATTGATAAGGTTTTCTCTGTAACTCTAGACAATATTTCTTCTAATGCTAAGGCTATGGAAACTTTGACACTTATGTTTGTTGGCTATTTGGGTCTTGATCCTATACCTGAGCCTGTTGATCCTTCTAAGCGTAAGTATAATCTTATGCATCAACGTTGTGCTTGCATATCATTAATCTGATTGTAAAATCTGGTTTAAAGAGGTTCAAACCTTACACATAAGATTTTAGAGCTGTTATTAACTTCTTAAATTTCTCTAATCAAAAAATTATTATGTTTAAGAACTACTATACTGCTCAGGGTGTTAGACCTAGAAAGTTTGGCTTAGATATGGATGTTAGATAGAATGCTATATATCTTATGCTTAAACACTTGGTTCCATATAAGCATATTTTTTTGTGTTCATTAATTTCAATTATGGTTCTAAATTGTTGTCTGCAAGGCATTGGTATATAGCTGAAAAGATATTAGAGTGTCTGAAACTATTTTATGACTCCATTGTTGCTCTTTCTGATGTTTACTATCCAACTAGTCCACTTATCATGCGCCATCTGCTAGAAATTGCTTCTCATTTACATGCAAGTGAAAAAGATCAAAATCTAATTGTTGTTGTATATCCTATGAAGCTTAAATTTCTTAAATATTGACAGCATATACCTATGTTATATTCATTTGCATTTATTCTTGATTCTAGAGCTAAGATTAGAGGTTTATTTAGAGTCCTGAAATTACTTAAAGAGAGCGTTGGTTGTGATTATAGTTCATATTATGCTGATGTGAAAACTAAAATTTATAAATTATTTAACAAATATGAGAGAAAGTTTGGTGCAGCTAGAAGTCAAATGGTTGCACAGCCTGCAAGCCATACAGGTAAGAGAAAACAGGCATGTGGAAGAATCTTTAGAGGCTCGGATCTATTGTTGGTCCTTCCCCTGCATGTTCTCCCACTTTATCTTCATCTGCTTTTATTGCTAATGAGCTCTCAGTTTATCTGGATAGTGACAATGTCATTGCATATGATGATAATTTTGATTTACTTCTCTGGTGGCGTGACCATAAACTAACCTATCCAATCATATTTATAATGGCTAGAGATATCATGTCTGTTCCTGTTTCTACTGTCTCTTCGAAATCATATGTGCAGCTAGGAGTCAAAGGGTTGCACAGCCTGCAAGCCATACAGGTAAGAGAAAACAGGCATGTGGAAGAATCTTTAGAGGCTCTAGATCTGTTATTGGTCCTTCCCCTGCCTGTTCCTCACTTTATCTTCATTTGCTTCTACTGCTAATGAGCTCTTAGTTTATCTAGATAGTGACAATGTCACTACATATGATGATAATTTTGATTTACTTCTCTGGTGGCGTGACCATAAACTAACCTATCCAATCATATTTATAATGGCTAGAGATATTATGTCTGTTTCTGTTTCTACTGTCTCTTCGGAATCATGTTTCAGCTGGACAGAAAGGATAATTGAAGAGCGGCAACGCCTTTTTTGCCTGAAACTGTGGAGATGCTGACCTGCATAAAGGATTGGGAGTTGGGAGAAAGCAGATTACAATATGTTGTTGACAACCAAGAGCTGGAGGACTCCTTCAAGAATCTGTACCTCGATTAAGATGTAGATGGGGCTGCTGGTACTGCTGGTTCATCTGAGGCTGGGGCTAGTTCATCTAGGACTGGTACATCTAGAGCTGCTGGTAATTTGTGTTGAGAGAGGAGAGAGTGCTCTATTAATCTGTTATCTCCATTTTGTATCTGTCATCTGTGACTGTGACTGAGACCTTTGAACAATGATGGAAGACTTATTAAGAGCTGTGCTGCACTCTTTTTCTCTTTCTAGGGTTTCTCACAAGGGTGAGTTTTACCTAAAAAGGTTTTTAATGAGACATCATTGCACAAACAGCTCAGTTATTTTAATTCTCGTCTTCTTTAGTGGCTTTTGTTAGAATTAAGAATCTGTGACTGTGATCAGTTTATTACTTGTGAATGTAAAATACTGAAATGTGAATGAATTGTGAAATATGATTGTCTCATGATGAGAGAAGCACTTTGAGTTGTTTTAATTGCAGGATGCTGTGGGCTGGCACGGCCCACGGATTTAGCCGTGCTTATCGGATCGACACGACACAGATTTCGGCTCGTAGGGCCGTGCTTGGGCCGAATGCCAGACACGAGATCCGGAGGGGCACGGCACGGAAGGCACGGCGTGCTGTGCCGTGCTTGGCCCGGGTCTGGGCCAGCCCGTTGGCCAACTATAAACGGAGGTAGGTGGGGCCGTGATGTCAGTCAAAACTGTTTGCTCTCTCTTTTGTGTGTTTTTGGGTTTATTAGAAACCTTTTTTAATTTAATTGAAATGGAGACATAATTATGAATATTTTAATATTATACTTGATCTGATTCAAAATATGAGGCGTTTACGTTTTCTTCTAAGTTAGACTTTTTGTAATTCTTGTTATCTTTAGACAAAAATATATTGACGTCGACGGTCCCAGACAAATAAACTATGAATACATATTTTATAATGAATTTAATGAAACTAGTTCCATGATCTGATTCAAAATATGAGGCGTTTACGTTTTGTTCTAAGTTAGATGTTTTGTTCGCTTGTTGGTTTTGAACTGCACCAAACCAACGGCCCCTATGAATACATATTTTATGATGAATTTAATGAAACTAGTTCCATGTTGTAAATATTAGTAGTACATTCTTCTATATGCCTGAGTTAGAGTTAGAGTTAGAAAAAAATAGCTAGAACAACACTAAGACCGTCTATATTTTAAAACGGATGGGGTTTTATGCTTAGTGGAATGTGCATTCTTTTTTTCTTTTTTTTTGATAAGCAACAGTCTGAAACACAGGAGTGGGGGTACGGCCTTTGTGCGGCAGTTTGATTTGCATAGTGGATTCTCTGTCACTTGACACCGAGCTTTAATTTACAGATTCAGTGACGGCTTAGCTTAGTTATCATAACA